AATTTTCCACTTTTTTTTTGGAGACGAACTCTCACTCTGTCACCAGGCTAGGAATGCAGTGGCACAATCTTGGCTCACTGCAAACTCTGCCTCCCAGGTTCAAGCAATTCTCCTGCCTCAGCCTTCTGAGTAGCTGGGACTACAGGTGCATGCCACCAGGCCCTCCTAATTTTTGTGTATTTAGTAGAGACAAGGTTTTACCATGTTGCCCAGGATGGTCTTGATCTGACCTCATGATCTGCCCACCTTGGTCTCCCAAAGTGTTGGGATTACAGTTGTGAGCCACCACACCTGGCCTTTCACTTCATTTTGAAGGGTAGGTTTGGTGGATATAGATTTCTTGTTTGACGGTATTATTCTTTCAGCACCTTGAGTCAATCATCTCACTCTTTTCTGACTTGTGTGATTTCTGTTGAGAAATTGACTGTTCTAAGAGGTAACTTGCACATAAACATAGTAAAAAGAGGCTCTAGGGACATAAACAGTCACTTTAATTTGCTGCTTTCAGGATTATTTATTTGGCTTTTCAAGTTTGATTATGTTGTGTCTGGGTATGGATCTTCTTGATTTCATCCTACGTAAAATTCACTGAGCTTCATGGGCATACAGATTATTATTTTTCATCAAACTTAGGACGTTTTTGGCCATTAGTTTTTAATAATTATTTTTGTTCCTTTCTTTCCCTCCTCTCCTCTGGAACTTCCATTATAAGTATGTTGGTATGCTTGGATCTATCCCTTGGGTCTCTGAGATTTGTGTTTATTTTTCTTCATTCTTTTGTTCTTGGATTGGGATAATCTCAATTGATCGATCTTCAAGTTCAATAAATTTTATTTTTGCTATCTCAAATCTGCTACTAAGCCATTTAGTGAATTTCTCATTTCAATTTCTTTACTTTTTTAATTCTAGAATTTGTCTTTTTATTGTTTCTTTTTATTAATATTATCTATTTGATAAGATACCATTCTAATACATTTCTTTAGTTCTGTATATGTACTCTCCTTTTGTTATGTGAATGTATTTTAATTACTAATTTAAAGTATTTACATAATGAATCCAACATCTGTATTTCCTCAGTGGTGGGTTCTGTTGACTGCTTTTATACTTGTGCATGAATCATACTCTGTTGTGTCTTCACATACCTCATAGTTATTTTGTTGAAACCTAGACATCTGCAATAATATATTGTGGCAACTCTGTAAATCAGATTCTCTATCCCATGGTTTATTATTCTTGCTGGTGCTGCTCCAATATATTTAAAATATTCAGTGACTTTCCTGAAACATTTCTGATTCTTTAAAATTTGTATTCTCTGTTGTGTCTGTGATGAGTTAGTTTAGTGGTTGATTAATGTTTGGACAGAGATTTTCTTAAATTCCTGAAAGCAATGTCTTCCAGCCTTTGCTGAAATGCTCTGTGAATGTATTGGGGCATCCCTTAAGTATTCAGCCGGTGAGTTTTCAATTCTGCTTTAGCCTTCACTTTCTGTTTTCACAGAGCCTCAGTGTCAGCCAGAGAAAAAAGGTTAGGACGTTATTATGTCTTTCCTGGGCATATGCATAGCCCTGTGCATATATGTGGACTTCTTGATTCCTAGGAATTTGTAGTAGCTTTTCAAAGTGCCCTGTAGACATCTCATTCTCTAGCTGTTTCTTTGGCAACTTTCTTGTTTGTTCCAACTGTTATTGCTGCCTCAGACAGAGGTGATATCAACTAATTGCAACTGATAGTTTCCTCTCAGGAGAAAAAGTGATTTGTTCAGAGTGATTTCTGAGTTGCATCTCATATAGACAAACCCTTCCTGCAAGTGGAGAGTTTCAGAGAACTCCAAAATAAGTCAAATGATGACAATTCTCTGAGAATGGAGCTTTGAAAAGGCATCAACCCATTGTGATGTGTCTAGTGACTTCTAAATGCCTTGTTTTCATTGTGAATGTGGGGCTGCTGGTTTGTAAGGCTACTGCAGAGCTGGAAAAAGAGGGGTAGAATGAGAAAAAATTAAAATATCACAAAGTTTGCTATTCTTACCCAGATTCAGTCATTTTTCTTTAATAGACTGTTGCAAGTCTTTAGGTAGTTTCCAGAATTCTGAAAAAGATATTTTGACCATTTTGGTCAATGTTTTTATACCTTGATGCAGGAGTGAATTTTTTGGAGTTCCTTACTCACTATTCCTGCTGCCTTCCACCCAAAGTCCTTGATCTTTAAACATCACATTATTTATAATCTTCAAAGAAGTTTTCAATAGATGATTTAGAATTTTACTTTACCTTCATTCCTCTCAATCAAACTCAAATAATAGTTAATAGTTACTGAATTCCTTTGGGTTCTAGTGCCTGGGAATAGCTTTCCAATATGCTCTAGGTCCAATGGATTGACTCAAAGTAAAGACAGACAAAATACTGCAATTATTAATAATCCATGCTTAACAAACAGGTATCCAGAGACATAATGATTTTCTTCTGATTATTAACTTAATATAGGTCGTTATGGGTGTCACAGCAGGTGACTTCAGAAAGGAGAGTATATGAGACAGAATTAAAAATGTACCAGAAAGAGTGCTTATTAATTAATTATGGTGCCACTGAGTTTTGTGAACAGTTCAGTAGAGAAAGAAAGAAAAGAAAGATCTGCTGAGTGACTGGGTTCTCCAATGAACATACTAGGAAATTTACAGACGTACTCTATGTTTAGTGGTGTTGAAGCCGTGTCTACAATGAGACCCATTCCCATATTCCTGAAATGCTTTAAGTATCCCCACTGAAAGGTTATAAAATAGGCTTATTTATCCTTTCCCTGGCTCTTCAAATCTTTAGATTTCACAAGCTTTTGCCTTGTTATAGCTGTGAGGGTTAATTTTATGTATCAACATAACTGTACTAAGGGATGCCCAGACAGCTGGTAAAACATTATTTCTGGATGTGTTTGTGATGGTGTTTCCAGAAGAGATTAACATTTAAATCAGCAGACTGAGTAAAAAAGATCCTTTCTCACCAGCGCGGGTGGGCATCATCCAGTCCACTGTGGTCCCAAATAGAAAAAAATGTGGAGGAAGGACAAATTTGCTATCTCTGCTTCAGATGAGACAGCCATCTTCTCCTCCCTTCAGATATCTGTGCTCCTGGCTCTTGGGCTTTTGGACTCAGACCAGGACTTATACCATTAGTGCCCCAGTTCTCAGACCTTCACACATAGAATGAATTATACCACCAACTTTCTAGCTTGCAGACAGCAGATCATGGTAATTCTTGGTCTCCATACTTGTGTGAGTCAATTTACGTAATAAATCTCCACAAACACACACACACACGTACATATATATACACATGCATACACATACACATACATACATATATATACCAACGTATGTGTCCACACGTCTTATTGGTTCTGTAATAGCTAACTCAAACATTTCTGATATCAACTCTGCCAAACCTAAACTTGGTATTTCCTATATTAAACTATCTAGTCCAGCACAACAATTTATTTAAATTTTCCAGAAATGGATTAAATGACTAACTTTTGTTAGTTTAGCTGGTAATTTTGATACAATTTAAAGTCAAGTATTTCAAAACTAGCTGCCTCATGGCTGAGGTAGATGGCTTATCCTTAAAGTGTCAGTGTAAAGTTATTTCTGTCCTGTACTTCAATGTGTAATTATACGTTTATTCACATGCATCTTCAGGAATGTGAGTAGCTCACAAGCTGCTTCTTAGAGGAAAAGATAAGCCCTGAGGGATTCCACTTGCCTCTATACAGGAGGGAGCTCCTCTCTACAAAAAGAATTCAGTCTGACTCATGTCATAACAGCATGTGAAACTTATCTGAGACAATAAAAGCACTCAATTAGATGGCGCTAGTCAGGTGTGACATATCATTTAATCTTTGCCTAAAACTTATATTGGTCTCTAGTATCACCTCCATTTCATAGAATAGGATACTTGGGCACTAAAGTACTGCAACTAAAAAGAGGGCAAGGCTGGGAGCGGTGGCTCACTCCTGTAATCCCAGCACTTTGGGAGGCTGAGGCAGGAGGATCATGAGGTCAAGAGATTGAGACCGTCCTGGCCAACACGGTGAAACCCCGTCTGCACTAAAAATACAAAAATTAGCTGGGAGTGGCACGTATACGTATGCCTGTAGTCCCAGCTACTCGGGAGGCTGTGGGAGAATCATTTGAAGCCAAGAGGTGGAGGTTGGAGTGAGCCGAGATCTCACCACTGCACTCCAGCCTGGTGACAGAGTGAGACTTTGTCTCAAAAAAATAAAAAATAAAAAATAAAAGAGGGCGAATCTTGCATTTGAACCTTGGCATTTTGTCTCTACAGCTGTACTTTATACTGTTATAATAAATCTGTGAGAGCTAGACATTACTGATTCCTAACACAGAATTTACATGCAAACCTTGTTTTATTACTGATATAAACACATTCTCCTATCTAGTTTCCCTTCAAAAACTCTAAGTGGTGCCTATCAAAATAAAAGGGAATATTTAGAGGAGTGTATGAGTGGTTTGTCTGATAGACTAAGAACTACCTCATAGCAAATTAAACCAGAAAGCTGTAAACTTGGGCCAAATTCACTAAACCTCCTGCAATAATAGATTTCCTAAGTAAATGGTTTATAAATGATTTACCAAAAAAAGACAAGTAAAAAATTTATTGCAAATAATTTACAAGTGCTAGAATTTTGATGTGATTCCCTTGATTTTTTTATCTAGAGTCTATATACGACAAATCATATAAAACTATCATTGGGTACCATCTACATATTTTGTCAATGTCCCTTACACATAATTTTTTCCCTTTGAAAAAGTAATCCATATCTTTCACAAGATTATAGGAGTTATAAAATCCATCCTCTTTATCTTGTTACTGGCTACCAGGAATTTCTAGGTGCCAGCTTAATCACAACTAACATATTTGCTTCTGTAATCATATATTTTCAACTTCAAAAAAAACATTTTTTTTTCTCTATTCTGAAAGCCTTCTGGAAAAAAAAAAGAAGGTTGCTGTTGTGAGTGATACATGCCGGGCAACTTGATTGCTCTTAGTGCAGAATTGAAAACAAGAAATTTTGGAAATATAATTTTTTGGTGGTTGGATTGCTGGTTGTATTAGTCCATTCTCACACTGCCATAAACATCCAAAACTGGATAATTTATAAGAAAAGAGGTTTAATTAGCTTACAGTTCTGCAGGCTGTACAAGAGGCAAAGCAGCTTCTGTTCAGCTTCTGGGAAGATTTCCGGAATCTTACATTCATGGCAGAAGACAAAGGGGAAGCAGGCTCTTCTTACATGGCTGGAGCAGGAGCAAGACCAAGACAGTGGGGAGGTACTACACACTTTTAAACAACCAGATCTCATGACAACTCACTCACTATCATGAGATCAGCGCAAGTGGGGAAATCCACCTCCATGATCCAATCACCTCCCAGCAGGCCCTACCTTCAACATTGGGGATTATAAATCAACATGAAATTTGGGCAGTGACACAGATCCAAACCATATCACTGGCGATTGTTCATCCTGGTGCCTCTACTCATAAAAATAAATACATGGAAGGGTGGGGAGGGATAATGAGGGGAGAAATACCAGACATAGTTGATATAGTTGATGAGGGGATGAAGGCAGCAAACCAGTTTGCCATGTATGTACCTTTGCAACAATCCTGCGTAATCTGCACATCATGTACCCCAGAACCTAAAGTACAATAAAAAAAAAAGAAAGGAAAACAAACAAATAAGCAAGACTTTTTTTATACACATCTTTTTAAATAAGTTTTCCTCAATCCATCTGAAAGTAAGTAGGTGATAAAAAAAAAAAAAGCCTTACTAAAAAAAAAATCTTTCTCAAAATCAAGGTAAAAAAACTTCTACTGTTTTTCTGAAGGTGAATGCTAAAGGTATTTTTTAACTTCAAAGAGAATCTTTAATAATAAGTTTTAAATATAATTTACTCTCTTCATATACACACAAGTAGAAGAAATGGGACTTATAAACTCAAGAGTTATTACTTCAGCAAATCGCCTTACACACCCTAACAAAGCGGAAAGTAATTATGCTCTGCTCTTTGGACCTCAAGTATACTTCCACCACTTCAGTTTGACGTCAGAGTGTCCTACAGGCTGGAGAGTCTCGACAGGTCTTAACTGTATACTAGAAATGCCTCATCCACTCTACCTGATGGTGTGGAGCTTGCCCTGTCCTGTGAATTAACCTAAAAAGATGTATCCCATGGCTCATTTTAAGTAAAGGAAAATTTTATTTCTCTTTGTGCATTTATGTGAGTGCATTCAAGGACAGGGAAAAGGAACTATCTTTAGTTTCATTGACCCTTGTCCTTTGGGAGATAAATAAGAATTTAATCAATGTAAATGATTTATATTTCTTATTCTTGTACAACTTTTCTTGTTTTAAAGAAATACTCTGGTTAATTTCAAATATGCATGTTACCTCAATTTTTATGCCCGACCCTCTTAACATGGATTGCTTTTATCCTCTCCTCACTCCCTTTAACCATCTCAGATTACTTTTTTGTTGTTGTCTTCTCTGTGTTCTCATATTTTGCTCATATCTCTATTTGTGAAGACATTTCTCATCTCTCTAAGTTCCTAGATTTCTGTAAGGAAAGCCAATCTTTGCGTCCTTCCAGAACTTGGTTCTAAGACTTGCACACAGTGACACTTTAGTAAATACCAATAACTGTTATTTATTAGGACTACTGACAGAAGGATTTGGTGAATGAATTATGCAACATAATTCTCCCTTCCTTAATATAAACAATGAGGCTGGACTCATCTTTAAATTAGAAAATACAATGCTACTAATTGTAATGTATAGCAATTAAGAGTGTCAGTGCTAGAACCAGACTGCATTCCCAAACATGGCAAGTTATTCACCTGTTTTCAATATCCTCATCTGTAAAAGGGGATGATAATTGAAAGTAAGTTACAGGATATCAAAACTATAAATAAGTTAATACTCGCAAAGTACTTAGGGCTTGGCATAAATTAAACTTTAGCAATGCAAACAGACAGAAAATGGAAGTTGTGACTTGGGAATCAAGAAAGTTTTGAAAGAGCCAATAATTTATAAACTAGAGTTTGATATCTAAAATATTAGTACTTTATAGCTCAATGAGCTATTGTAATACCTCTATATAGATTTCATAATAACTTTTCAGAAACACTTATATGAGACATTATCAGAAAAAAATATTCTTATTTTATCAATTTACATAATTTTAAAATATTGTTTTTTAAGCAATATCGAAAACATAACTTTTGTGTGAATTTTGTCTCTCCTATGAGGTTTATCCTAGAACATTTATTTTGAGGAAAAGCTTCATAAGAACATAATTTGGGCAAAAATTTAAATTCTATTGTAATCAATGATCTTAATAATGAATTACTTAGCTTCCAGAACCTAGGGTTGAATAACATATTTGTCTCACTTTACCGATAGCTAGTACTACTGACAGAAGGATTTGGATTTGGTAAAATGAAAATGAAACACAAGTTTATAAAAAGATACCTCTAATAATGAGTCCTTACACACAATAAGCATTCATCCATCACCTTTCTACAATTCTCTGACAACAAAGAAAGAGCAATCTTCCTCTTAAGAGAAAGATTTAGAGAAATTAAAATCAGTAAAGTTTCACTCTATGTCAAGATCAGTCATAACTTAAAATTCAAGCATCTAGCTCTCTGTTTCCATGTCTATATTTAGATCTTTCTATTTTCTAATTTAAGATAGACCTAAATCAAAATTTTGAAAATTAAGAACAAGCAATCAAATATTTATTTCCAAAATTTCTTCTCCAAAATATCTTTTGATTATTCTCAATAAACTCTGTACTTTATTAATCACCCAAGCCTTTCAATTTAACCAAATACTAGTAATTTTTGTGTCTTTGGTTTTTTTTTTTTTTTACTTTTAATTTTTTAAGATGGAGTTTAGCTCTTGTTGCCCAGGCTGGAATGCAAAGGTGAGATCTTGGCTCACGGCAATCTCCCAGGTTCAAACAATTCTCCTGCCTCAGCATCAGGAGAAGGTGGGATTACAGGCGTGCGCTACCATGCTTGGCTAATTTTGTATTCTTAGTAGAGATGGGGTTTCTCCATGTTGGTCAAGCTGACCTGGAACTCCTGAACTCGGTTGATCAGCCCCCCTCAGCCTCCCAAAGTGCTGGGATTACAGGCCTGAGCCACAGCGCCCGGATATTTTTGATGTTTTTATACAGCCTTCGTAAAGTAAAAATAATTGTCCATCTTCATAAAAATTTTTTTCTTTTTTTTTTTGAGAAAATTTTTTTGATGACAATTTTTTTTTTTAGACGGAGTCTGGCTCTGGCTCTGTCACCAGGCTGGAGTGCAGTGGCATAATCTAAGCTCACTGCAACCTCCACCTCCCGGGTTCAAGTGATTCTCCTGCCTCAGCCTCCTGAGTAGCTGGGACTACAGGTACCCACCACACCCGGCTAATTTTTGTGCTTTTAGTAGAGATGGGGTTTCACCATGTTGGCCAAGATGTTCTCAGTCTCTTGACCTTGTGACCCACCCACCTCGGCCTCCCAAAGTGATGAGATTACAGGCATGAGACACAGAGCCTCACCAAAAAATAATTTCTAAATCTACTTCTTCCATAATTACTCATCCTGGGAGTTAGAAAGTTAATATAAATCTTGATAGTGAAAATACAAGTTATTTTTCTGTAGTACATTCTACTTTTGTGTTTGCTAAAAGTATTCATAATTTAAAATTTTCTTCAACTTTTGAGGGAAAGCCAATTTAGTATAGTAATTAAGAAATTCTTGAAATTTCCCACGAATAGCTCTTAAGCATTCTCATCACAGGAAAAAGCAACTTTGTGAGGTGATAGATAGGTTAGTTTGATTATAGTAATCATTTCACAACATATACATACTGTATCTCAAGACATCATTTTCACTATTTTTTTTTTCTTTTTGAGATGGAATCTCACCCTATTGCCAGACTGGAGTACAGTGGCATTATCACTGCTCACTGCAACCTCTGCCTCCTGAGTTCAAGCGATTCTCCTGCCTCAGCCTCCTGAATATCTGGGATTACAGATGCATGCCAGCACACTAGGCTAATTTTAGTAATTTTAGTAGAGACAGACTTTCACCATGTTGTTCAAGTTGATTTGGAACTCCTGACCTTGTGATCCATCCACCTAGCCCTCCCAAAGTGCTGGGATTACAGGCATGAGCCACTGTGCCTGGTCAAATATATATAATTCTTATTTGTCAGTTATAGTTCAATAAAGCTGGAAAAAGTATATTTGTTAAAAAAAAAAGAAAAAGAAAAAATCCTAGGCAGTATTAAGCCAGTTAAGTACACCCAGTTAAAGGCTATGGATGTTTTTGTTTTTGTTTTTAGCATTTATCCCTATTATTATATTTAATACATAATTTATATTTGGTAACTAAGAATACAAATCATCAGAAAGGGAAGTAACTTGATGACAATTTTAAAACTCATATCAATAATACATTTTTTATAATGTCTTACTTAGTGCTAGCACAGTAAACCCTTGGCATTGACAACCTGTGACCTTATCAGCCTTCTACAGAACCCTCAGTTAGATTCTATTACATTTGATACGGAGCTTGAGGCTTTCTAAGGGTCAAATATGCTTTTGAAATTTAGGGTGTACATTGTACATTGGAGGCAGATGTTCCTATTTTTCATTTTTATTTATTGATTTATTTTTATTATACTTTAAGTTCTGGGGTACATGTGCAGAACATGCAGGTTTGTCACATAGTTATATATGTGCCATGGTGGTTTGCTGCATCCATCAACCAGTCATCTAAATTAGTTATTTCTCCTAACGCTATCCCTCCCCTAGCCCCTACCCTGCTGCTATCACTCCCCTATCCCCCACCCTGCTGCTATCCCTCCCCTAGTCCCCCACCCCTCAAAAAACCCCAGTGTGTGATGTTCCCTTCCCTGTGTCCTTGTGTTCTCATTGTTCAACTCCCACTTATGAGTGAGAACACGTGGTGTTTGGCTTTCTGCTCTTGTGTTAGTTCTCTGAGAATGATGGTTTCCAGCGTCATCCATGTCCCTGCAAAGGACATGAACTCATCATTTTTTATGGCT